TCTAGAACCTTTGTATATTTGATAGTATTTCTAACTTTCATTTCTTTACTGTTTGCAGTTAATGTTCATGTTCTGCTATGCAATCATTTATATGCACGTTTCTTTAATTTTTTTAGATTTTCCTGGATGTATAGTTTAAACAAGAAAAAGTCTATTTAAAAACTGTAGCAGTAGTTTGCAGTTCTAGCAAAGAGGAAAGTTGTGGGGTTAAACTTTGTATTTTCTTTCTTATAGAAGCTTCTAAAAAGGTATTTTTATATGTTCTTTTTAACAAATATTGTGTACAACCTTTAAAACATCAATGTTTGGATCAAAACAAGACCCAGCTTATTTTCTGCTTGCTGTAAATTAAGCAAACATGCTATAATAAAAACAAAATGAAGGAAATAATGATTAACTGGAATTATTATAGTTTTGAATGAGATTCTAAAATTAACAATGGAAACAATCCTTTGTAGATTTAGGAAGAGTTTTAATCAGTGTTGCACTAGGCACAACTAACTTTTACTTTAGAAATAATAGAACTTGCCAGTAAGGTACATCTTTTACATAGTACTTAAAAATTCCCTATGTAATGTCAAAGCCCCTTGGGTTAAGTAACTTAGGGGTTATTGGTAGTGTTAACAGACGCATTAAAATGAAATTTGGGTCAGCTAATTATACATTTATATTTTCATTATTGAATAGACCAATAATTCTGCTCTTCCCCATTCTAAACAAGATGTGTTGGGCCTTATGTTTATGGCGTGATTTAAAATACTTTTAAATGTTGAATGTTGGTAAGCAGTTAATATTAAGTGATAACCATTTAAGGGAACTGGTTTAGGTGTTTTGTGGTTTGAATTCTAGCTACTATATAATGACAATTAAAGCTGATGCTTACTGAGTATTTATGATGTGCCAGACACTATTCTAAAAGCTTAATGTGGTAATTCATTGGCTCTTCACAAAACCCTATGAGAAATATACTTTTATTTTCCCCATATCACAGATAAAGAAATTGAGGCACAAAGAAAAGGCTATAAAAGATAAATCCAGGAATTAAGCCCAGGCCTGGTCCTTACATGATTTTTTTTAATGGACTATAATTTGAGAGAGATTGAGATTGTTCGCAGTATCTGTAGACTTAGAAGGACTGATATTTTCATTTTTACTTATTTTACTTGTGTCACTTATTTCTAGACTCTACTATTTTTGAGAAATTTATGTCATTTCTAAAGTGACATACCTAACAGCTTCAGAAGGACTACATTGTAGTCGAACCCATGATAGTTAGGATCCTACTGGTACCTGATGAGGATCCTTACACAGCACTTTAATTTTGGGTTACGTATTAGAGTTCTACAGTTATTGAGTATACCTACTGTGTGTCTGGCACTGTACTCAATATATTAGAGTAGAACATATCAAGACTCGAGGGCTGACACTTCGCCTCTTTTTACTTAAGATCTCTGCATTTTTTGTTTGTTTTTAAGCCAAGTAAACAAGAAGAAAAATGACAGATAATGCTTCAGTGAGAAAGGCAAGGTGCTACATAGAGTATGAGCTATTAAGTTAAAACCCAGGGAAAAGACCTGGAAACTATTGTACTATTCTCTTGAAAATTTGGCCCAGTAAGCTTCTACATCCAGTTCAACTAACAAAATCCTGTATACCACAGAGAAGAATAAAGAAAACCAAACTGACAAACATCCTTCTTTTATTTAAGACCAAACTGCAGCTGGAATACCCAGTACAGTTCTGCTTACTACACTTCAAGAAAGATCTGAGAAAGCGGAAAAAGAACCAAAGAAGGGCAGTTCAAGCGACCAAAGGGTGGGTGGAAGGTGCTGCAGTATGAATACTGTATGAATATTTTGACTCTGGTCTGAAAAGATAAAAGAATGTTATTGAAAACTACATGGAATAATTGAAGTCCCTTCAAGTTTGAAAGTAAGCATTTTAGGACAAATAAAAGGAAATTCAACTTTGTACTTGTGGAAACTAATCCCTAAATCTGAATAGGTTTATATTAATTCATGGGTAACAGGTCCATAATAAATTACTGGAAACTAGGATGTCTGAACATGAAGGAAGACAGCCATAGTCTTGTACAGTGCCTCTATTGGTCTGTCTCAAACTGAATTGGGTGAGAAAAGGTCTGGTCCATTACAAACTTTTTCTTGGTTATCTCAAGTCAGTTCCATTTTTTGCTATTGGCAAATCTTGCCTTTGTTTATTCCAGTGCCAGTGTTTTCTGCTTAATGGTTTGCTTTGTTGGCATCCGAGTTTATTTACCTGTATGCCATGTGCAGTTTACATCTTCCTTAAACAACTCTCATTCCCAGGTAAATTTCAGTTATAATACTTGACATCCAGTTAAGAGGTTCCATCTCTTCTCACCTCTTTCCTAGTCAGTATATTCAGCAAACATTTACTCAGCCCGTAACTGGGGGCCTAAAACTGTACTAGGTAATTGGGGAGAAAAATAGATAAAATTCACTTATTCAATATCTACTGAGCACAATCTAGTGAATAACATTACAGTATGGCCTCATTGTTTTGAGGTGTATTATTTGTGACAATACTTTGCACCATTCATATCCTAATGTAATTATAAAACCCAATATATTATCAAAGATTAGTAATTTCGTGGTTACCTGCCATTTAAAAGTATTGGTATTTCTGTTTGCATCCCATTAATACAAATAATGAAAAAATGATGTTTTAATCTGTAATAAACTGATTTATTGTGCAGTGACTGTAATATGCTAGAGTTATATTAAATTGTTAACTCTGCCTCAACCACGTATTAGGAAATAATCCCCCCAAAAGTATTTAACTTTGCATTAGATCTGAAGGAGACTCTGGGTGCTATAATTAGATTTTGAGGCAGACAGAGAGCTGTTATCCCAACTGATATAGTATGTTCTGTAATTAAGAAAATGTTCTCCAAGTTATACTTTTTAGTGATTTACATGTACATTTTATAGGGGACATGTTCTGTGTATAGTGAATAAATAACTTTTATAGTATCACAATGTTTTGGATTCCTTAGTTCCTTATTAGGATATGAAGCTCAATTACCTATATATTGATTTTATCACTCACATGTATTTCTGCCACATGTGTAAACTTTTCACAGAGTTCTTCATCTAAGACTATGGAAGTGTTGAAGCCTTTAACTTATATTTTGAAAGTAAAGAATATACATAACTAAGGAAGGTATGAAAATAGAGGGTTTTTGTTTTGTTTTGTTTTTCCCCCCCAAGCTTTGCCCTAGATTACACAGCAAAGTAAGTGGCAGATCCTAGATGAGAGTCCATGGTTTTTTATTTGGTTCATCTTTACCGTTTTGCACTTGTTTTTTCTCATGGGAAAATTTTTACAATAAAATTAGTATAATGGATTCTAGAGTTCACGTGGAAGATTTGATTTATAAAATAGGTTTAATTACAGAAAATATTTTGCTTCTAACTTTTCTGGGTGAAAGGTTAAATAAAATAACCCAAGATCTCAAAACTGATGTGGCTCGAACTCTTCAGCCTGGTTTTCTAAATTTCAGTCTCATTGTATTGCATTTTGATGTTATTCCTGTTTACAAAATCCTGAGATATTTTGAATTGGGGAGGCTATGGCTTGAGACAGCACCGTGGTAGCTCAGGAATAATCTAATGTTCTTCTAGGTCTATCAAAGATTTTAAGGAGTCCCTGGAGTATTGTTCTCACATAAATGAAGTGAGCAACCTGTTTGTCATCATTCAACTGTTAACATCTACAAGACATAGCTGGTTGCTGTGAAAAGGTTCTCGGGTTCTATCCCCTCTGCCGCCGTCTCCAACAGTGTCACTGTTTATTGCATTACATTTATGTATTCCTAAGTTATTTCGTCCATATATTAAAAATGGGATTCTTTTTTGTTTGGAATAAAACGCAAGGCGTGTAAATTCATTTCGTTGATAATTGACAGAGTAGTTTGTTAAGTAAAAGGCCTTTGTGTCTAGTTTTCTGTAGATCACATCTCGAGTGCTGGATAGTGAAATAAAAAACTGGTCTAGGAGCCAAAAAAATCTCGGTTTTTTTTTTAAGGTTTAGTTCTGCCTTACAGGTTTGTGACTGGTGGGTAGGATTTCGTTTGTTTTAGAGGTTTGAGTTTCAGATATACTGTTCCTTTTGTTTTACAAAGTAATTGCCTATGAGAATGCAATTAAACACTAGAAAAACTTACCCTAAACCCTTGTTTCTTTCCACCTTGTGCTTGCTTTAAGGGAGAGAACTTACCAGAACTTAACTGTAAGGATAGGTTATGGACTTGGATTCTGTAATATACAGACACTGGCTGACTCCACCACAGCATTTTGGTTCTCAAAAATACAATGATTTGGGAAATTCCTGTCACCTGTAACTACAAACTTACTGCTGCCTTTCTGAGGTGTGATAGATAATGATCATTGACCTTTTATCTAGGTTACTCTTAGCTGTTGAAAATTTTTAGTTAAATCGTGCTCCTCTGAACTCCTACCACTTCGATCCCAAACCAAAAATTTTATGCTGTATTTAAAGGTAGAGACCCAAGACACCTGGGCTCAGAATGGTTCATTGTAAAATTCTAGTACAATACAGGGGGAAAAAATGCAATTCTTGGCATTACTCCCAACAATTACTCTGGGGAAATAGAGGAAAAAAACGAAGACTCAATTTCCTCCAGTTTTCATGAGAAAACAGCCCTGCTTGTGTAGAACTTAAGATTTTATCAACAAATACTTAAAACATGGGTTGACAATTTGAGGAATTCTTTTGTGCTGATTATTTTTCTGTACACCTAAATCTTATAAGTATTCTGTGGCCTTTTTTACTGTTAGCCGTGATTGGGTGCAAGGAGTCAGTTAGTTGCTTTCTTGTGTAGTTGTTGACCGAATCCAAATGTCTAATCAGTCAGCAAATTGGCTGCCTCTTTAAAGTCACATCTTACCACAATTTAGTTGGGTTAATTGTGTGCATTTATAAAATAAACAAGCCACTGGGGAGAAAAAGCAGTTTATTTCATGCTTCAAATTTGTAGACGCACATTTAGTACTATATAAACTTGTCTTTAGAATCTTATTTGTCTCAGGCAATAGCTCACCAGAATTTACTTGGAGAAATACATATTGGCCATTCTGCCTAAAAATATTGAAAAGAACCGCCAAATTAGGAAATAGGGCACTTGCACAATCAGAAATTTTTAACATCCTCACGTTTTTAAATTTACTGTTGGGCTGATTTTATACTTAGCATGTATTTTTAAGGTGGGTGAAACATGTTATCAAGGTATTATGCAAGAAATCACATCTTTTGCATAGGTGGTCCCCTGGGTTGCACTTACTGGTAACAAAAGAAATACACTGGCATCAAACTATACTCAGGTTATAAAAATTGTACAAAGCCATTATGAACTTTTAAGGTTGGAGGGACCCTTCAATGGTTAATCTTTGGGCTTAAAGGAATAAAAATTAAAATAGTCCCATACTGCTTTTCACATCTCTTAAAAATAGGAAGTGTTATTAGCAGCTTAAAACCTTTTCAGTTATAGTTATATAAAACTTATTACACTAGGATTTATTTTGAAATATAGTTTACAACCAGATAAACTATAACATACACACACTGGCACTTCAGTACAAGGGCAGACTTTAAAATCAAATTTTGGACCTTTAAAATTAGGCCATAGTATAAAAGAGTCCATGGTCTCACATTCAGCAAATTCATACTAAAATATTCTATTTTGTAGGATAAATGCCAATGAAACTTTACATATGCTACAAGTTTATTACATATATTTACATGGCTCTTTCCTAGGTACTCAAACTCACATTATATAGCTCCCTACTTTAAGCAAGCTTTGCAGGGATATGAGGCCAGATCACTGTCAGAACAGCTTATGCAGTACTATATTACAAAAATGTATTTTACTGTGACCACCAAATACTGTTCCTATAAAAATGGTTTTGGTGCATTTGTTGGTAGTCCCTATCCACTGCATTTAAGAAATGGGGCCACTGGGGTACACTGTCTCATTCTAAATAGCCCCTAGTGCCCCTTCCACATTCAACACCTTCAGTTTACTAAACCAACTAGAAGAAAAATTCACATTTTCTTTTGGCAGTGCATCAGGTTGTTGGCATATTACTGGTTTTGGTGTTTCTAGAATTAAATTTTCCAATACTCAAGTAAGTTTGTTTTCAATCCCTGTATGTCTTAACTAGATACTTATAATCAGATTCACTAGCTTTCAACAAGTAAATCTACTGACTTACAAATAATCTTAAGTCAGTATTTTACCCTAACAAGCATTGGAAAAAGTTGATTCCTTTATCATTCCCCAAATCTAAATGTGAATGGTTTCACTTGAGTTACTCAATTGAGAACACTTGATATCAAGTAAAATGATCAATTATTTAGTTATTTTACATTGCACTGACGCTACCATTACATCACAGTGCTCAAGATGAAATCTTGTATTTTCTACATAGCAGTTTTAGATAAATTTCCCTAACGAATTTAGTATGAAATTGACAATTATCCTTAAATATAACAATTTAAACATTAGTACTTAATCTTATTTTATACCTGTACTTTGAGTAAGGTTTTAAGTTGAAATGTCATTATTTCCTTATCAGAAGGATTAAAGGAAACAGGAACCCAGTGGCTTGGTGGTTTAGGAAGAACACTTGGTGACGGTGGTTCACTAAATTTGGCTCCAGCATAGTTCTGGTTAGTCTGAGACTTAAAAAGTAAGCTGGGACTTGATAAGCTAGAGTTCCAATTTTGATTATTTGAAAAATTTTTGTTCTTCCCCGCATTTTGCATGGCCTGCCATGCAGCTGCTGATGCATTATAAGTATGTCCTCTTTCTTTTTTCTTATGAACAATCTTCATCTGAGAATTCTGATCCTTGGTCTTCTGTCTATTAAGCTGTTGTTGGTTCTTACTAACATTTCTAGATTGAGGGGCTGGAATGTTATACCTCTCTCCACCACCCATCTTCAACTTCTTTGTCACCTGTAAGTGAATGGAAACAAAATACTGAGTAAAGTTACCGTAAAAAAAAAAAAAATCAAAACTTTAAGCAGCTTCTACAGCCCAACTTGTAATTACAGAAATCTTGGGGAAGACTCAAAAATGTGCTATTCAGCTGCTTTAACTTCATTATACGTTCACACTTCATTATATGCAGTTTTTATTACAATCCTAAGAAAAATAAGCTAACCCACAAGTCTGTAAAATCCATTATTTAAAAACTAAAATACTGGTTTAGGATGAGTCCACAATAAAATGTTTGCCCCATTACAAAGTGAATTTTTTTATACCTTTCAGTCTGCTTTTCAGATCGCAGGATTTCCACTACTTGTCCTCTTCCTTGCTGCCAAGCCCAGGATAACAGATGTTGCTTTCTGACGGATCCTTTCCTTTGTCTCAATACAGAAGTTTTCATGGGCCAATCTGCAGAGTCCAGCCTAGGAGCTGAGGTCAACATCTGAGTCTCCTCAGCACACAAGTTTGAGAGAAGTCTTAGCTAGAAAAGTAAAAATTACTTCATTAATTCAAATCAAAAACACGGGAGAAAGTGATTATATTTACTACAGAAATAAAGATTGGCTACTCCTGAACCTAAAAGGCATAAAATCTGAAGACGGTTTTCTTTGACCTTATAACTCATCATTTAAGAACTCTTCTCTGCCTGAGATCCAAAAACACTTTCCTGGGGAATTCTGCGACAGGTGTCCGCCAAGTCCCCCAACAAGTTGTATCTTTTTCCTGGGGACCCTTCAGATTCACACCGTTTTTGTGACCACAATGTTAAATCAAACTAGGAAAGCATTAGCCTTTTTAAGCCATAACAAAAACTGGCTTAAAATTAGCTTCCTAAAAAAATGTTTTTAAAGTCTCACCAGTTTTTCAGTCTTTCGACATCACATCCGTTTTCATAAAGCCTCTTCTCCCCACATGCCTATATCACCCGTATTACTTTTAGTTATGAACATTTTAACTCCTCCCCATTTTAATATAAGTTTTCATACGCCTTAACAACCTAAGCCAGTTTCTAAAGTATATACAAATGCCTCCCTCAGTGAACACTGAAGATTTTGTTTTCATGGACATTCCAAGAAGCCAAGTTACCAATAAGCCAAGTTACCAATAAGCCCTCATTTTGGAAGAGTAATAGGGCCTTCCGGACTATTTTAACAGCCTTAAGTAAACAGTTCCTGGACCTTGAATCATAAACAACGCAAGCCTGGAAAGTTCGCTTCTTCCGATGGGGCTTGGCTTCCGAGCGGCTCCATCTTTCTCGAGCCCGAACCGGGAACCCTGGCCGCCTGCGTCCCACCCGGTTCCCGGATCTCACCTCCTTCCCCCAACAATGAGGAGCGCGGACGCCAACATGGCCGCCCCCGCGGCGCCACCGCCACTCACCGACTTCAAGCTCGGACTGCGGCGGCGGCAGCTCCTGCTCGGTGACGCAGCCCCCTCCCCTTCCAAGGAGAGACGAGGCACGGAACGAACAAAGCCCACGAGCACCGACGAGTTAGTTGCTGACCAACTCGGCGTCCCTACCCGACCTCCTTCTTCTGCCTCTACCGACAAAATGGAGGTGGCAACGAGCGCAGAAGCGGGGCCGAGAGGCACAGCGGCCAATCAAAACGCGCCAACGCGTGGCCCGGCCAATGATACGCGGGCCGCCGCCTGTTGCTGGGGCGGCCCGGGCGACGGAGGGAGGTGGTTGTTGCCGAGGGTTTGAAATCCTCTCCGAGAGGAGCATGTCGGGAACAACTGCTGCGGGCCCGTGGCTGACACCGGACTCCTGTTGGAGGAATCCACCCAGCTGTTCCCCGGCACCCTAGGCCGCGGTGGTGTCTGCCCTTCGCCCAGGCAGCTAGTGGGGATCGCGCCGACAGCGCCGGACCCCTGGAGCCCGCTCCCCCAGCGCGCGCGCGCGCGGCACCTGGGAAGGGGGTCTCGCTGCCTGCCGGGGCATCACCTCCACCCTGGCTCTCCGGCTCGCAGGGCCCCCCGCCGTTTAGGACCCGGGTGGTTTTCCTCACCGGGGAGAATCACTTTAGGTGCCATTTGGTTCCCGAGTTCAGGTCCCTGGGCCGTGGAACTCGTGTTTTACAGCTGGAAGACTCCCAGCAAAGTTGCTTTCCGAGGCCGCTGCGCCTTTGCGCCTGACACTCCGGAGCCTCGTTCTCTTTCTCCGCACGGGAACTTATTTGCAGCTCCCAAAGCTTGCAGTTCTTCCTGTCCTTCCCACCCCTGCCTCAAAATTCTTCCGAAGTTGCCGGCCCTGTGAACGCGTTTCCGACGAGGCACGGACGAAATTGATCACTTCCTCTTTGTGTCCCCACTGGTCCTTAACTTTGTTAGATCCCTCCATCATACCGTCTCGTAACTACTCGTGGCTGTATCTGCCCACGCCTCCCCACACATACACCGTCGCGGGGCAAAGCCAGATTTTATTTTTCTGCGCACAGTGCCTCGCCTGTTGTAAGTGCGCGAGAAAAATTTTTTATTCTCCTTTCTGCCCAATTTGCAAGTGAAAAGCAGGAGTTCAGTCCATTATGCCAGCGACGTGCGGAGAAGGGAAAAAGGGCAAGTTTTGTGGAGTGAATGGATAAGCAACCCAAAGTGAGTGTTTTAATACCAGTTTCCAATTTCTATGAACGTATGAACATTTTCATTACAGGATTTATATACATTATGTATATTACATATAATAAGTTATACATAATTCTTTTTTTAATCTTCAGTTTTTCGTGGCCATCATCCCCACCTCTCTGTTCTAGCTGTGGACCTTAAGTTTTCATAAGAAAACTGCTTAAGCGACTGCATTTTTAAAAAAAGGAGTTTGTTAGTCAAATTAATTTGGTGAAACGTGTAGAAGATATTTTTGAGCATGGGACTTTCTGGTGCTAATCATATTATAGTCAAATAAGACGTATCAGATATGGTAAACTGCTAGGTTGCAGAATGTGTAATCTGTTTCCTAAAAATTCAAAAAGCTGATTTAGACATCTGGCCAGAAAATAGCCCCGCTATATTTAACAGACCAAAACTTTGACTTCAGTTAAGACCCTTACAATATATTTTTTTGATATACTGGTTTTGTAAAATGAACAGCCAGGTTTCAGTCTGAGCATTTTCTTTCTGATTCTTTTTTATCATCCAAATATCTTTCAAATTCATCCCTGCTGCACCCCCACACACACACCTTTCTTTCTATCTTCCACGGATGATTGTCACGTAAAAAAAAAAAAAAACTAAAGTGGCCCAAAATTGTATTACAGAATTCAGTCGTCCTCCAAATCTTATCTGTATAAACATAAACACACAGATAAGGTATTGGGTACTTGTAAACAAGCACATTAATATTAAATACTCTACTTCCCCCTGCCCTGAGCTAACCTGATTTGCTTACATCATTTCAATTCACTTTCACAAATTATGGTGGTGCAGGACAGGGCAAATTTCCCTGAGTAGGGAGAGACCAAGCCCTGCACTGAGTGAAGAGAGGGTCCTTCGGTGCAGAGTGTAGAAAGATTGCAACACACACGCCAAAGTTAGAGTCAAAAGGAAAGTCTGTTAGAAAAGGGGCCACGTTCCACAGAGTGTGGTCTCCTCTCAGAAGAGAGTGAGAGGGACCGAGAACGGCAATGACAGTAAGCGCAGCGAGAGGGACCCCAAGTGTTTGGGGAATTCAATTTATATATCATTCTTTCATTCCCGTGAGTTACAGTTTAAGGACTTTGTTTACTCGTCTCCTTTGATATGGGCATACAGTGAGGAGGGGAAAGGGGAAGAGTACTAAGCGTGAAAGGCCTGCCGGCAGTTCCCAGCCTTTAATCCATAGATTCCCTATGGTTTTAGCCATAGGGAATGAATGGTTTTGTGTAGGGCGTCACTTAAAGACTGTTTTTTCCTGTTTCCCCAGGTGTGGGAAATGGGTTGTTAGCAATCCCAGCAGAGATCTCCCTTTGTTCTGCAGGTATCTTCATGGCCTGGCTGCAGAATTGATCAACTTATTGCAGTCTTTGAATATAGCCTGATTCAACATTTTAGTTCTCTTGCCTCCTCCCTAAATTAATGGAATAGGCTCTATTTTGATCTCTACTGCACAGATGAAGAATCTGAAGCTCTTTAGAGCTGAAAGCCACACACTTAGATCCAGAGCCTGGCTCCATGTTGCCCACAGTTTCTGTGAATCACCTCTGTGTCCTCCCCAGTGCCTGAAAGGTGCTTTATCCAGAGCAGACACTGACTGGCAGTTGACTGGGCTGCCGGGGCTGCTCGGACAGAATGAAGCTTCCATCCTGCCTTCTGGCAGAACCAGGTTCTCTGCCAGAAGGTGAGAGTCAGGATGCCCTCAGGAGAGTGCTGTTAAAAAGCCTTCCCCATGTCCCAGAATCCCAGGCAGCCTTTCAATGCAGCCCCTGCCTTATTAACATTTACCAAGTTGCCGCAGCAGTGAGAACTGGGGAGCAGCAGTTAAAATCACACCCTCTTATGATACAGCCTTTGTGTGTCTGATGCTGGTCTTTAAAGTCAGTTCCACCAACACCATCCAATTAGAGGTTCGCAGCTCAAATAGGAAAAAGTTAATGCAAACAAACAGCTCTCAGGATGTAGATCTGTCTCCAATGCTGGGAGCTAAATGCATAATAAATACTGTGGGTTTTTAATACCAAACATTTATTTAACAAAGATTTATCTGGTGTCTTCTTTGAGGCAGGCACTCTGCCAAGCCCTGGGGGTACAACAGTCAGTGAGAGTCCCTCCCAGCCCTAAAGGAACTCAAAAGCTGTTCGCTTTACTATTTATCAGAGAAGAAAGCTAGTGTCTGGGAGATTCATTTCCTCAGTTCTTCCTCTGAGAGTCCATGCCAATTGTAAACACAAAATCAGCTTGCTCACATCACTAAAGAGTGCAGGTTGCAGACATCGTACTGGACCCTGTGGAAAGGAAGGGAAAAGGAAAGGATTCCCACATGCCGAAATTCTTTTCCAAGAAGATCTGTTACGAATTATGTATCAGCGAGAGCCAAAGTCAACGAAACTTGTTACTTAAACATTACCTACCTGATCTGTAGGTAGAAGTAGGACTAATGTAAGGAAAAGGCAAGAGAACTGAAATGTTAAATCAAGCTATATTCAGAGACTGCAATATGCTGATTAGCCCTGAGCCAAGCCAGGAGAACACCTGTAGAACAAAGGACTGCTAACAACCCATTTCCCCACACCGTGAAGGGAAAACAGGAAAACAGTCTTTAAGTCATGCCCTACACAAAATAAAACCATTCCTTCCCTACAGCTAAAACCAAGGGAACCTATGGATCAAAGGCTGGGAATTGCCAGCAGGCCTTTCGCACTACATCTTCTTACCTTTCTCCCTACACTCTTCTGCTTCCACTGTATGTCCATACTATCAAAGGAAAATGGGTAAAGTTTTTAAACTGTAATTGATGGAAACTAAGAATGATGTATAAACTGAATTCCCTGAACACTCAAGGTTCCTCTCAGGGTCTTTTTCTCTGTCCATCTCACTGTCACTGTGTGTGTCTCTCTCTGGGCCCCTCTGAGTACCTCTCAGTCTCTGTCACTCTCCGCCTCTGAGAGGAGACCAAGCTCTGTGCAGCGTTCCCCCTTCTCTAGTAAACTTTCTTTTAGACTCTTAACTCTGGCAGGCATTTGAATTCTTTCCGTGCTCAACCAAGAACCTTTATTCTCTCGGTGCAGGGCCTGAGCTCCTCCCAACTCACAGATATTTGCCCTGTCCCACATCAGGACAAAAGGTGTTTCTGAAAGTACAGCTTTGGAGGACTGGCACATTTGCAGGCTGATGCTTACTGTATTTTAGACTCCACAAGTGTCAGGGCCGTTGAGGCAATCACCCGCATTTGCCAAACCCGTGGAACGAGTCTATAGTCGGACTGACTGGCATTCAGGCTGAGTCACTTACCTCCCATGTATCAACCTTAAAACAAACTGGTTTGGTTATTTTTATTCCTTAAGCTCATGTGTGAATTCAGAGTACAACTCTGAATGCTCGCAGGTCTGTCAGCTAATGTCTTATTTCAGTTAGGGGAAGCAAGTTCTTGGAACTTGACAAAGAGTAAAGGAGGCTGCCCGCTTGATGTTGTGAGGTGGCTTAGGGCTCTGTTCTCGTTGCCAAAGTGGTATCAAAACACACACCCCTCCACACACCGTGAATTTGTTTCCTGGGGAAGCATCTGCTGCGCGTTCCCAGTTGCTCACACATTCCTGAGCAGTTGCAAATCAGTTCTCCGCCATTACAGCTATTTTGGTCTGATTACTAAATGGGGCACAGGAAGTCAATGCTAAACTCCCACGCTTCCTGTGACTCTGACCCAGGGGTTCTCAACCTTCAGGACCTTTGAAGGCTTCTGATGCATAGACTCCCACCCCAGATCAAAATCCTTGAGAATGGATGTTTGGGTGTTCCATTTGAAGAATAGCAGATTATGCCACTCCAAAATATGCCACTTTAGTGTAAGGAGCATTTTGAGCCAAAGGCACTAGAGAAACAGCATGTGCAAGAAGGGCATCTGATCCTCCCTCCCCTTTTCTTCCTGAAAACAAGAGAGAAT